CTTGCTTTCCTTAACGGCATCATCCTTCTCTTGCCTGGTGGCCCTGCTGATGTCGATCATCTTGACGATAGCATTCGTGCCTTTGTCCTGTGCAAGGCCAGGCGAAAATGAGATGTGCGCGCATGCTGTGTCATCACATTGCCAGCGCAAGAATGCGCCGATACTGCGAATAAGCACTTTCATTCATGCACGGCGCTTCTGGAACATCTACGGAAGTCCCCCGCTCACGGAGCCCGCAAAGACGACTCCAGCTAACATGCACGCCATGTTCGGCCAGACCTCTGCCCACCCACCCCTGCTCAGCCTGGACAGAAACTACCACCTCGTGGTTCGCATCACTCCTCAGACTCCTCTTTTCTCCTCCTGCTCCTTCTGCAACTGACTCCATACTTCTTGTGACTCCTTCGCACTCTTCCCCCTCCGCCTCCTCCTCCTCCTCCTCCTCCTCCTCCTCTTCCTCAATCCCTTCCCCCCTTCCCTCCTGCCTCCTGCCTCCTGCCTCCTCCTCCTCCTCCTCCTCCTCCTCCTCCTCGGTGGTCGTCGTCGCCCTCCCCCTACTCCTCCTCCCAATCCTTCTCCTCCCAATCCTTCCTTTCCCCCGCCGGCATCCCCCTCGCCCCCTGCCCTCCCCCCATTCCCCCCGTTCCTCTTCCTCCTTCCTGCGCTCCCCCCCTCCCTCACTCGACCATCCACCCCGCTCCCTAGTCGCCCCCCCCTGCTCGTCCTGGCCCTCCAGTCAAGGCTTCCAGGGACGCGCACATTGGACACAAATCCCAGGACTCCCAACAATCTCACATGTTTTCTGGTCTTTCGCGTCCCCCTAAACTTCCCAGTTCATTTTTTCCTGGGAATCGACGTTTATGTGTGTCTTTGCCCATTCTTCCCTACTGATCTATATCCTGCCGAATCGTCCCCCTGTGAAAAGATGACGACCAAGGTGGGACCCGCCGCGTGGCCACCCGCTCGAGACGACGAGGCAAAATCAGGGACAAAGCCGGACCCGGCGACATCAGGGATCGCTGAGATCTTGCGGGTCTCGAGGATGAATCAGGCGGCGCGGTGCCCCACTCCGCTGGACCCACCAGCAGCCCTCGAAAGTGGCGACAGTTTCGAAGATCGCAGCCCCCCAAGCACGAGGAGTTCTTGCTCAGATCTGCGCGGTGCCTCACTCCGCTGGACCCACCAGCAAACCTCGAAAGTGGCGACAGTTTCGCAGATCGCAGCGTCCCAGTCACGGCGAGGTCTTGCTCAGATCTGCGCGGTGCCTCACTCCGCTGGACCCACCAGCAGCCCTCGAACGTGGCGACAGTTTCGCAGATCGCAGCCCCCCAAACACGGCGAGGTCTTGCTCAGATCTGCGCGGTGCCTCACCCCGCTGGACCCAGCAGCGGCCCTCGAAAGTGGCGACAGTTCCGCAGATCGCAGCCCCCCCAGGCACGGCGAGGTCTTGCTCAGATCTGCGCGATGCTTCACTTCGCTGGACCCACCAGCAGCCCTCGAAAGTGGCGACGGTTTCGCAGATCGCAGCCCCCCAGGGACGGCGAGGTCTTGCTCAGATCTGCGCGGTGCCTCACTCCGCTGGGCCCACCAACAGCCCTCGGAAGTGGCGACAGTTTCGCAGATCGCAGCCCCCCCAAGCACAGCGAGGTCTTGCTCAGATCTGCGCGGTGCCTCACTCCGCTGGACCCACCAACAGCCCCCGGAAGTGGCGACAGTTTCGCAGATCGCAGCCCCCCAGACACGGCGAGGTCTTGCTCAGATCTGCGCGGTGCCTCACTCCGCTGGGCCCACCAGCAGCCCTCGAACGTGGCGACATTTTCGCAGATCGCAGCCCCCATGCACGGCGAGGTCTCGCTCAGATCTGCGCGGTGCCTCACTCCGCTGGACCCACCAACACCCATGGAAAGTGGCGAAAGTTTCGCAGATCGCAGCCCCCCAGGCACGGCGAGGTCTCGCTCAGATCTGCGCGGTGCCTCACTCCGCTCAGCCTTCAGCCGCTGCAGTTTCGCAGATCGCAGCCCCCCAGGACGGCGAGGCGCTCAGATCGCGCGGTGCCTCCTCCGCTGGACCCACCAGCAGCCCTCGAACGTGGCGACATTTCGCAGATCGCAGCCCCCCCAGGAACGGCGAGGTCTTGCTCAGATCTGCGCGGTGCCTCACTCCGCTGGACCCACCAGCAGCCCTCGAACGTGGCGACAATTTCGCAGATGGCCCCCCCAAGCACGGCGAGGTCGCTCAGATCGTAGCCCCCAAGGCACGGCGAGGTCTTGCTCAGATCTGCGCGGTGCCTCACTCCGCTGGACCCACCAGCAGCCCTCTAAAGTGGCGACAGTTTCGCAGATCGCAGCCCCCCAGGCACGGCGAAGTCTTGCTCAGATCTGCGCGGTGCCTCACTCCGCTGGAATCACCAGCAGCCCTCGAACTCGGCGACAATTTCGCAGATCGCAGCCCCCCAGGCACGGCGAGATCTGCGCTGTGCCTCACCCCGCTGGACCCACCAGCAGCCCTCGAAAGTGGCGAATCGCTCTGCTGCCCCCCCGAGCAGCCCTCGAAAGTGGCGACGGTTTCGCAGATCGCAGCCCCCCAGGGACGGCGAGGTCTTGCTCAGATCTGCGCGGTGCCTCACTCCGCTGGACCCACCAGCAGCCCTCGAAAGTGGCGACAGTTTCGCAGAACGCAGCCCCCTTGGCACGGCGACGTCTTGCTCAGATCTGCGCGGTGCCTCACACCGCTGGGCCCACCAGCAGCCCTCAAAAGTGGCGACAGTTTCGCAGATCGCAGACCCACAGGCACGGCGAGGTCTTGCTCAGATCTGCGCGGTGCCTCACTCCGCTGGACCCACCAGCAGCCCTCGAACGTGGCGACGGTTTCGCAGATCGCAGCCCTCCAGGCACGGCGAGGTCTTGCTCAGATCTGCGCGGTGCCTCACCCCGCCGGGCCGACCAGCAGCCCTCGAAAGTGGCGACAGTTTCACAGATCGCAGCCCCCCAAGCACGGCGAGGTCTTGCTCAGATCTGCGCGGTGGTTCACTCCGCTGGACCCACCAGCAGCCCTCAAAAGTGGCGACGGTTTCGCAGATCGCAGCCCCCCAAGCACGGCGAGGTATCGCTCAGATCCCCGCAGTGCTTCACTCCGCTGGACCCACCAGCAGCCCTCGGAAGTGGCGACAGTTTCGCAGATTGCAGCCCCCAAGGCACGGCGAGGTCTTGCTCAGATCTGCGCGGTGCCTCACTCCGCTGGACCCACCAGCAGCCCTCGACAGTGGCGACAGTTTCGCAGATCGCAGCCTCCCAGACACGGCGAGGTCCCGCTCAGATCTGCGCGGTGGTTCACTCCGCTGGACCCACCCGCAGCCCTCGAAAGAAGCGAATCGCTATGCTGGCCCCCCGGGCAGCCCTCGAAAGTGTCGACGGTGTCGCAGATCGCAACCCCCCAGGCACGGCGAGGTCTTGCTCAGATCTGCGCGGTGCCTCACTCCGCTGGACCCACCAGCAGCCCTCGAAAGTGGCGACAAATTCGCAGAACGCAGCCCCCCAGGCACGGCGAGGTCTTGCTCAGACCTGCGCGGTGCCTTTCCCCGCTGGACCCACCAGCAGCCCTCGAAAGTGGCGACAATGTCCCAGATCGCAGCCCCCCAGGCACGGCAAGGTCTTGCTCAGATCTGCGCGGTGCCTCACTCCGCTGGACCCACCAACAGACCTCGAAAGTGGCGACAAATTCGCAGAACGCAGCCCCCCAGGCAGGCCGGCAGGTCCCGCTGCGCGGTGCCTCACTCCACTGGACCCACCAACAGCCCTCGAACGTGGAGACAGTTTCGCAGATCGCAGCCCCCCAGGCACGGCGAGGTCTTGCCCAGATCTGCGCGGTGCCCCACTCCGCTGGACCCACCAGCAGCCCTCGAACGTGGCGACAGTTTCGCAGATCGCAGCCCCCCCCCCCCCCAGGGACGGCGAGGTCTTGCTCAGATCTTTGCGGTGCCTCACCTCGCTGGACCCACCAGCAGCCCTCGAACGTGGAGGCAGTTTCGCAGATCGCAGCCCCCCAGGCACAGCGAGGTCTTGCTCAGATCTGCGCGGTGCCTCACCCCGCTGGGCCCACCAGCAGCCCTCGACAGTGGCGACAAATTCGCAGAACGCAGCCCCCCAGGCACGGCGAGGTCTTGCTCAGACCTGCGCGGTGCCTTTCCCCGCTGGACCCACCAGCAGCCATCGAACGTGGCGACAATGTCCCAGATCGCAGCCCCCCAGGCACGGCAAGGTCCCGCTCAGATCTGCGCGGTGCCTCACTCCGCTGGACCCACCAGCAGCCCTCGAAAGAGGCGACAATTTCGCAGATCGCAGCCCCCCCCAGGCACGGCGAGGTCTTGCTCAGATCTGCGCGGTACCTCACCCCGCTGAACCCACCAGCAGCCATCGAAAGTGGCGACGGTTTCGCAGATCGCAGCCCCCATCGTCGGCGAAGAGAGGGCAGGAGGAGGCGGGAGGCGGGAGGAGAAGGAGGAGGAGGAGGAGGATGAGGAAGAGGGACGCGACCACAGTGCTATATTCAAAACGAATACCCGACCAAGGAGGGTTGGGGAATCAACCACATTACCCCAGTGCGACCCTACCTAGAAGTTAGAGCCCCCAAGAAACCAGCATTAGTTGCTATGACATGCTACGCTATGCTATGCTATGCTATACCATGCTATGTTGCGCTATGATATGCTATGATATGCTGTGCTATGCTGCGCTATGCTATGTTATGCTATAATATACGTTGCCATGCTGCGCTGTGCTATGCTGTGCTGTGCTGTGCTGCGCTATGCTATGCCATGCTATGCCATGCTATGCTGCGCTATGCTATGCTATGATATGCTATGATGGGCTTTGCTATGATACGCTGTGCTGCGCTATGCTGTGCTACGCTATGCTATGCTGTGCTCTGCTATGCTAAAGCTCAGCGAAACTAAGATGAAGGTACGCTAAGCTAAGACAATCTTGAGCTAAGATGAAGCTACGCTAAGCTAAGATGAAATAAGCTAAGCTAAGATGAGATAAGCAACGCTAAGCTAATGGGGCGTAACTGGGGGAACCGCGGGGCGGATCCTGGGGGAACCGCCCGGGGCGGGTTCCACTGCCCAGCCCCTTTAAGCCACACACACACTCCCACACACCACACACCACACACACACACACACCCGCACACACCCGCACACCCGCACACACACACACACACCCGCACACACACACACTCACACACACACACACTCTCACACACACACTCACACACACTCACACACACTCACACACTCACACACACACACTCACACACTCACACACTCACACACACACACGCACACACGCACACACGCAAACACGTGCACACACTTGTTTGTGGCGGTCGCGGCCCCGCGCGCAGCGACGAGGCGCAGCAGGTCCAGCGAACGGCACGGTGCAGGCGCGCGTTGCCCGGCCGCCCTCCGACGCGGGATCACATTGGCATTGCCGCGCGTGGTCACCCAGGGGGGGCGGCAAAGAGGGGGCTATCTGAAGTTTCGCCAGTGTTCTGCTCTGCTGGGCTGTCCTCAACTCGCAGGTGTGTGCTACCTGGGTTGTGCAGATGATGTGAGTTTGGATCTCGTCGGTGCTATCTGCCGGTTCTATCGGTGCGTGCTATCTGACTGTCCCGGCGAATAGGGATTAACGAATATGGGGACGCAGTGTCCCGCAGAGGGGGGCCCTACGAGCCTGCAGGAGTGCCCTCCTCGGAGCGCAGCCCAGACACGCCGACGCCAGCTTGCAGGTCGCTCTGGGCATGCGCGACTTGCTTGGCCGTGCCCGAGCGGCTCGGGCGCAGGCCACGGTGAGCTCGAGAAAGACGACGACGCGCAGAAGGAGGACGAGCAGGAGGACGACAAGGAGGCGGCCCCGCAAGCCGCGGCCGGGGCGGGTCAGCGGTGGACAGACCTCCCTTCAGTAAACCACCCTTTAGTGAAAACGGCCCAGGACAAAAAACCGACGGACCTGGACCCGCAAAAATGACGGCCGCCACGCCCTCTCGCGAACCGAAAACGGCCAATCCGCTAATCGACGCGTCAGGCGAGGAGGTCTATCGACCTCCGAGCGGGGCGCTCCTTCTCGGACGCGTGCTGCACCAACACCGCGGACCCGAACGACCCCTCGCCGACTTTCCTGCCGCCGCACGGCGGCCCGCAGAGGCCCTGCATCGCGCCGCCGCCGCCGCCAGCCGCCTCGTCGCCGTGGGGGATTGAGGATCCATGCTCGAGGATCGCTTGAGGCATTCGCCGTCCACTCGTCGGGGGGGGGGTTCTGTTCCTTCGCCCGCCTGTCTTTGCTGGCTTCGCTGTCTCGGTCGGTCAAACGCTCCTGGCCGCACAGGCAGGGCCGCACCAATCTCCTCCACCTCCTCCTCCTCCTCCTCCTCCTCCTCCTCCTCCTCCTCCTCCTCCTCCTCCTCCTCCTCCTCCATCCTCCTCCCCCTCCATCCTCCTCCCCCTCCTCCTCCATCCTCCTTCTCCTCGTCCTCCTCCTCTCCCTCCCCCCCCCCCCCTCCCCAAGCAGTCCCAGCGGGCCCCCACAGGCCCCCCGAAGACTCCGGCACGGTCCTCACACCCCAACCCTGGGGCGTGGAGCGCCCAGAGGGCGCCGCTGGAGAGGCGGCGCGCTGGGGTGCCGGAGCCGCCCAGGCTTCCTCTCGGGGGGCCTGCTGATAGGGGGCCACACGTGAACCCTGCCCCTACCCCCCACGATTTCAAAGGGGGAGGGTGGGGTTCACTTCGTCTGGGAGCTCCCGAGCGAAGTGAACCCCACCCTCCCCCGCAGAAATCGTGGGGGGTAGGGGCAGGGTTCGCGCGTGGCCCCCTGGTCGAGGCCAGCCTAGGCTGCCTCGGGAAGCTGCCTGGCACGCAGCCCGAAGCCCTATACAAATCGGGGCTCGAGGTTGTCGGACATCTCCCGGAGACCACGGGCCGCGGTCCGCGCTTGCCCTCTCCTCCTGTCGTCCTCCGTCGCCTCGTCCTGCTCCCGTTCCTGCTACTCCGCGCCCTCCGCCCTCTGTTGCGACCTCCTTGCACATGCTCCTCCTGCTGCTCCTCCCTCTCCTCGTCCTCCTCTGCCGCACGTGTGTCCCTCCCTTTCCCCCCCCACCCAGAGGCATCCCGAGAGAACTTCACAGGCATCCAGGAGGCCCCTGACCTTACCCCAAGCACGGTGGCGGAGCAAACCGAAGGCCAGCAGATCCGCCCCCCTCTCCTTCTCCTCCTCCTCCTCCTCCTCCTCCTCCTCCTCCTCCTCCTCCTCCTCCTCCTCCTCCTCCTCCTCCTCCTCCTCCTCAACAGTTACCCAATATGAGTACTACTCTCCCTCTACCACTGATGACGTCTTGGGAGTGTTCGCCCCCCCCCCCGCGTACTGTCTTTTTACACGCAGGTTTCCCCGGAGTTCGGTTTTCGATTGCATTTGTTTGTTGAAAATACTGCTCTCGCTGAGGCGCAGGCATCATTTTCGGGCCCCGCTCGTTCCGAATCGCGTTCCCGCTGCAGCGCTGGCATCATTTCCGCCGGCGCCTGGGCTGCACGCCCGAGCCGGCGCCCGGGCCGGCGCTCCCAGACGCTCATCCACCATTAAAACATTGAATCTGTGGATAAGGTTAAATATATCATGTGGGTTAACACACGGCATTATTTAAAAGGCGTTTTGAATATATGTATCGTTCTCTTCCTCCTCCTCCTCCTCCTCTTCCTCCTCCTGCTCGTATCTATCGTCGTGGTACTCGTCGTTCCTCCTCTTCCTCCCTCTCGGACAGGGGTGATGATGGCGATGATGTGATCATGACGATGGTGTTGTTGTTGTTGGTGGTGGTGGTGTGGTTGTTGTTGTTGTTATTGTTGTTGTTGGCGTTGATGTTGTTGTTGTTGTTTTTGTTGATGATCGTGTTGTTGTTGTTGTCGTTGTTAATGTTGTTGTTGTTGTCGTTGTTGTGTGTTGTTTTGTTGTTGCTGTTGCTGTGGTTGTTGTTGTTGTTTTTTCCTCAACGCTTGCACCCCGAACTATCCTCGATGAGCACGTCGTCAAAGACGCACCATAAGCATTTGAACAATGTATTGACGCACGCTGTTTTGGGATGCAAGCCCTCGGCTATTGATATGACTTTCCCGACCAAGTCCTCGTCCCCGTATGTCCAGAAATACCGCGGGTTCCCGATTGAGGGGAATTGGACCAAACAAAGGTGCATGCATAAATGCAGTTTGAGGGTTAGCTTCCAAAGTGCTGCTCCCCCTGTCGAAGCTGGCTGCAAACAGCCTGACATACATAATAACCAACAGCTCACAATGTTCAGCAATCTCTCGTTGTCCACTGGGTCGCACGAACATTGATTCATGATCAAGTAGTTCGTAGAAGCGGACCGTGCATTGGGCGACACCTAGAACCATATCATATGTGCCATCTCCAGGTGTGCGAAATCTTGTGATGAGGCCCAACGCGTACCGAGCTAGCATTCTCATCGCCGCCGCTCTGCCTGAAAATTTGGGCCAATTCCCTCCTGTAGACCTCGAGCGATCGACAGTGACGGGGCCATGGGGTCTGTAGGGGCATTTTGTCCTGCTGTGCCAGCTTGTGAGATCAGTTTGACAGCGCTTCACGCGCTCGGCATATGCCGAACCTCCGAATGCATTTTTGATAACAGCGACGTGGGATAAAACATGTCCTACAACGTGGCTCGCGATACCTAAACCGCACGTGCGCAACACATCCACTGCCACGCGCTCGAACCTGAGGCCCAACACAATTTGAAAGAGGACTGGCACCACGCGCCCTGTTGCCCGACGGTCTCGAATATACGGTTCGTGTTTCCATTTAATTGTGCGCCAGCCTGCGCCTGCGCTGGCATCGGTCCATGATCTGCGTCGGTGCGCGCCGCTAGCACGGCAGCGAGGGCACGCGACTCCGCTTTCATTCCGTAAAGGGAAATCAGATATCTCTGTGTAGAATTGCCAATCCCCGCGCATCTGTGATAAGCAAGCTCGATCACCTCCAGCCAGAGGGACGCCCCCCCCGTGCAAGGGGCGATTCTTCCAATCCGCGCGCGGCCATTCCCCGCTCAACATGACATTGCAACTCCAATCAAACATGTGAAGTCAAGAACCGAGTGTGTCCGATGTCGTATCAGATTTGCGACATACACTGAATAAAATAAAAAAAAAAAAAAAAAAAAAAAAAAAAAAAACGCGCCTGAATAATTCTCCCTGTAGCTGTGAGCGAGTCCCAGGCCAGGCCATGCGTGGAATCTGCTTTGCAGAATGCGCCCCCGTCGCCATGGGCGCCTATGGGAACGCAGCAATTCCAAATGTCGCGAGGAAAATGGGGATGTAGCCGTACAAAATCAGAGCTCGACATTGATGTCAAAAACGATGAGAGCCCGCCGTCGGGGCCAACGATACGATTATCCCAGACTTCATTGCGCTTCCCAAACACATAGCTGAAGAACTCATGAGGGAATATTACTGGGTGCGGAATGCTCCTGCCAGACTTCACGGGGAGCTCGACCCAGCCGGTTGGGGGCGAACCAGCTGGATAGCCAAGTGCGGTTTTTTTTTCTATTTTTTAAAAGAAAAACCCTCAGCAGGTTCTGGGGCCATTGCCCATATGTTCCAACTGCTGCCAGGCCATTAACGCCACTGGCGCCCCGCTGCTGGGCTGCATGTGCGCACTGCGGCACTTTGACCGAAGACAGAGCTCCAATCGCCCAGTCTCTGCGCGTAGCAGTCGTGAACGCCCCAGCCGCAGGTGGAACCGCGTCTTCCTGCGACGCCGATGCGCTGGTTCTCTGGCGAACCCCTCCGCGACGGCAAGAGTCATTGTACTGCTGCGTGTGAGCGCGCTGACTCGAACCATTGCGCAGAAAACGAGGGTGCTTATGAGGAGCGTCGCGCCAAGGCACTTGCTGTTGCAAGCTTGAGCCAAAAGGGCTACTGATTTGGTTTATGCTGTTTCGACGTGTATGTGCTGCGCGTGGTGCTTGTTGCTTTCAGTTCGCTGAGCTGTTCTGCTCTGCATGTTGTTCGCCATTCTCACGCTCGCGCACAAACAAGCAAGCCGGCCAGCATGCAAGCCAACAAACAAACAAACAAACACATAAACAAACGTTGCTGAACACTCATCGCGACGTGCTCCCGGGTAACATCATCGGAATCGCGATCAGACCCGTCATCGTCGCAACAATCGCGATGTATTCGTGTGTTGTATTGTTTTCATGCGTGTTTGTAGCTGCGTTGTGCATTTCGTGCTTCGCGATGTGCCGTTCATTGTTGCTTCGAGTCGTCATCGCATGGTCCCTGAGTGATCGGTAATGTGACAATCAATTTGCATAGTGTTGTTGATATTGCTGTTATTGCTACTGCCACCCCCCCTCTCCTGAGCGAGAACAAAAGGGGGCGCCCCCGTTTCCGCCAATCCCAGTAGCTCGCCAGCAGCAGCCGGGCAGGAGGAGGAGGAGGAGGAGGAGCGGCGAAAGGAGGAGGGGGAGGGCGACGAGGGGGGGGCGGAGGGGGAGGGGATGCGACCACGCACTTGGCTCTGCCACGCACTGAGTTGTTGGCGCATGCGCGCAGCGACGAATGTGCCAGCAGAGAAATAGCCAAACCTGACGGACTGCGAGCAGCTGCCGAGCCCCTAAAAGAAAGGCGAGCGCAGAAAGGCCAAGCATCCCCTCAGCTTGGCAGGCGCGGGCCGAAGTCGCAGTGCAGCCCTCGCCCTCAACTAGACTTCGTGGAACGCCTCCGGCGCTTGGGGGGATCGGGCACCGCGCAGAAGTCGAACTTCGATGCCCACGATTTGATGTTCTCGTCGGCAGCGTCGCACTGCTTGAGCAGCTGTACGAGCTTGGGGAGTTAAGCATCATCAGCACTCTCCGTGCAGAGCCTGTCCAGCAGCTTGACAACCTTGCCCACCTCGTTGACGTGCTTATCCACATCCTTCTCGAGACCACCGATGTACTTCTGGTTGCCCATGCCGACCTTAGTCTTGATGACCTTGGTTTCCGCAAGCATGTCCTGGTATGTCCTCAACGTCTCCTTCGCGGCCATCTTCAAGGACTCGACGTCCTTCGCCACCTTCATGCTGTCGCTCTCTTCCTCAATCTTCACTTGCACGACGTCGGTTGATGAACCAGC